GGGGGGGGGTCTTCAAATATTGGAAGCGAACATTATAAATAAAAAAGTAAAGTAATGTTGTTGCAGCCTGTTTAAATTTAATGGGGTCTCCATTAAGTTATTTTTGATTACATCATTTTATCTGAAGACATAAAAGAGGTGATATCCGGAGGTTTTAGTACAATTCATTATGATCCTGTAAATATGCTCTAAAAACTATCCTGAGAATCAATTTGCCCGGTGCTCTCTGTCTTTGCCTCTCCCTCTCCACACTGTGTGTAGCCCACAGTTTCCATTACTCCCATCATAAATTATACCACAGAGTGAATTACACTTGCTTTTCACCTTACCAGGCAGGTTTGATGAATCCTAAGGCACAACACATCATCTCAACAAATCTTCATCACCATGCCAGTCGCTGTCTCTTTGCAGTTTAAACCACTTCAAATCATTTTCATTGCCCTGCTATTAAAATTTGTAATTCACACCTGCCATTGCAGTGATACATAGTTACATCGAACCCCCCCCCTCCCCACCCCCACATATTCCTCGCTTTCACTTTCTCTCTCTGGTTCTTATTCTCTGCTTTGCTTATCACTGCATCTCCACACATCTCTCTCTCCCTCTCTCTCTCTCTCTCTCCCTGTCTTGTAAATCAAACAACCTCAGGTGACAGGTCATGCAGATTTCCCACAAGTCACTGGGGTGCAAACATCCATCCAAAAGAGCAGCGCATTGCCGTCACACCTGATGACATAATGACCACTTGGAAACTAATAAACAGCTTCATTCAACCAAAGCTATTGCTCCTTTTCATAAGCGTTACGGTCCCCCATCCCTCTCTCTATCTCTCTTTTCTCTCCCTCTCCTATCTGTCACAAATTCATCCTCCTGCACCTCACCTCTTCGCTGGTGCTGGAGTTACCCATAAATCACTGCTGTTGTCTAACGCTATCCATTTTCCCAGAAACACAGGGCGGCTGTTGCAGAAATTGGGTCAGGCATAATCTGCAGGGCAGCAGAGCCTGGCTAGTCATGATTCTGCTAGGTAATGTAGCCATTAGCACACAGTGAGAGATTGGTGGGATGGGTAGAAGGGGTTGGGTGGGTGGTGGTGGGGGTCCCTTGTACATGATGTGACATCCAAGAAAAGCTGGCAAATGACACAGTTTTATCGCTCCCCATCAACAACAGGACGCACGTGTGTGTGTGTGTGTGCATACCTTGGAGTGACTAAGTGTGTGTGATTCTGTTCAGGCTTGTGTTTAGTATTTGCATGTATTGAATTGCTATGAAATAGTAAATTCAACTTTGACAATGCGAGCTGACTTGGTGTGCTGGACCTCTTGAAAATCTAAACTAGCTTCTGAATTAACAAGACATACTGTGTATGGTGTCCTGAATTCAAAGTGTAAGTGATACAGTAATTCATTAAGCAGATGGAGAAGAGAGAACAGCTTCGATTAATGAGAGTCTTGAACTTTGACAATATGCCTCTTTATTATGTTTCCCCTTACAAGGCCTGATGCTAGGAGGCAGACTTCAAATGAGAGAAGATCCGGCCCAGAGGCATGATTAGCTTGTGATAGTGTGCATCTTTTTCCCAGCCTGCAATGTGCTTTATCTACTCCTTAGTTACCTCTGTATGTATTACCTTTATAAGGCAGATATCTCAGGTCAACCACCTCTTGATTTACAGGAAGGCAAGAGTGCTGTGCTAACACTCACTGTTTATGAATTCAAAATAAATCTGAAAGTATGACATTAAAGTCTTAGCATAATGAAGACATCTGTAGTTTTAGAAAGTCTTCCAGGGTTTTCCTCACTTTAGGTGGTTGAAGCACAGATGTTATTAGTTAAAGCACCTCTAAAAAAAACCCTTCAGATGAGATGTACTGCAGCCCTAAAACAAAAATCCACCATTCATTTCTAACTATATAATATGCATTTAACATATAGAGATTATAACACTGGATCATTACGAAGAAAATGCCTTGTAATAAAATTGTTTCGTGTAGTGTTTGTGTGTTCTTCAGGAGACAAGAACTGTCAACCATTCAAATTTAACATTAGCCATATTGCTTTAAGTGTTTGTCTTGTCTATTAAAATTTTAACATTGTCAATAGTTACGTTTACAAATGCTAGTATACAAAAACTGTACATAAAATAAAACCAAACAAGCCCAATTTTCACTGAAATAGAAAATTTATTGAATGAGAAGGTTATTATTGAAGGTCTAAATTACAATAGAAACAATGATATTTTTCCTGAAATGGAATAATTGTTTTTATCCTGTCAGGTGAAATAAAATGACTGATGCTTTGCAATATATCTGACAAACCAATTATCAATAAAAACAGTGTAAAAGCATTTCCTGTGGAATCCATTTTTCTTGAATGATCTGAATGCTAAACTCCATTATTTTTATCAGTTAAGGGAGGAGAGGGAAAATAAAATAAAAGTACAAAAATTATTAGAATTAATTATACACATGGTGTATTTTATACATTTAGGGAAGCTTGATTGCTTTCGTGTGAGACGTACAGTTGCTGCATAATAAGAATTTCCTCAACAAATAAAGTGATACAATTAATATACAGCGGTTATGTGGAGACACTTATGACAATGTTGTATTGTTTTGTAATGCGTTTTCTTTACGTGGACTGCAATGGTGAACATACAGTAGAGTCAATCAGTACTCAATCTTGTTATACAGGTTGTATAAAGGTAACGCTGGCAGGTTGCTCCCCGGGTAATAGAGGGGAGTCGGAAAGGCGATAGACCGGGGAACTGGAACGCGCAGTAAGGAGTTATCTCTGAAAACCAGCGGCATTCCCACTAGTGTCTGTGCGGAGGCGTGGGCCATGTTGGCCGCCTCCAGTTCAGCTGATAGCTGCCGTTTCCATTTGTTCCTCCTGTTCTGAAACCACGTCTTGACCTGAGTCTCCGTCAGCTGCAGGCTGGAGGCTAAGCAGGCCCGCTCCGAGCTGCTCAGGTACCGCTTCATGTCGAAGGTGGACTCCAGCTGGTACACCTGACTCCGGGAGAAAACCGTGCGCGTCTTCTTCTTG